CCACCACAGCTGTGTGCCGTGACCTCCCCACACACCCCTACCAACAGGACAAAGAATAACAAGGGAGCTTGAGTTTTTAAAGAATTTTGCTGTGTTCGTTTTGCTTTCCATCAGTGTTATCCTCCTTAGTTTCTCAAGGACAAGTTCTTTGTATAGGGGAGAAAAATGCCCAAACCAGCTCTTCCTTAGGGACGCCCAAGCCTTGCTTCTGGGCTGCCCTCAGGCCTGCAGCTGGAGCAGCTCAGGGCTTCACCATATTGATCTAACACTGGGTGTTAGGAATACTTCTCTTTGGTATTTATCATGTTATGTATCAATAAGCCTTTGATAGTAGAATACCATGTAGATTTACTAGCTACATTGGACACATGGATAGAATGGTCTGTTCTCTTAGCTGAAGTCTTTTATTTTCAGAATAAATGAAAAATGCTGAATGTATAGTGGTAACCAGTATAGGAAATATTTGTATGTTTATTTCTTTTATAATGTGATACAAGGATTTTTGTTTATTGTTTATTTCTGCTGTCTTTAATGATGATATGCTCTATACTATAGTAAAACTCATTGTTAAAAAAGTAATGATTAAAACAAAAATACATTGGATTGGGCCAGCCAAATAGCCCAGGGACTTAAAGCACTTGCTTAGGCAGAGCACAGGGACTGGGGTTCAGTGTCAGGTGTGCCATGCTGGCCCCGGCCCCTGCTGTGCTGAGAGAGCGATTGAGACTGGGCATGGTGGCATGCGCCTGTAATCCCAGTGCTTGGGAGGCTGAAAAACAGGATCGCTACGAGTCTGATCTGTATAGTGAGACCCTGTAGACTCTGTAATAAATGTTTAAAAAAAATACATTGTATTGTTTTAGTTAGCATTCCATCACCGTAATGAATCCCTGAGATAATTAGCTCACAAACAGAAAGGGTTTATTTTGACTGCAGAAAGGATTCTGAAGTGGTCCGTGGGCCCCATCACTTTGGACCTGTGATGACGCAGCACAGCATAGCAGGTGTGAGTAGAGCAGAGCCACAGAATGCAGGGTCAGGAGGCGAAGGGAGACTAGGAACTGGGCTGTGGGCCCAGCTCTCCCACCTCCCACTAGTGTACTAGTAAGGGACACCTAGAAACAGACCATAGCAGTGAGAAAGTGGAGGAACACTGTGCTCAGCTGTCCAGGCAGGTAGGTGTAGTGCCAGGATCTTTCCTCTAAATTCCCAAAGAATCCAGCAACTTCATAGGACATTCATGGCCATACCATAGCTCAAGTCACCTCTCTCTCTCTCTCTCTCTCTCTCTCTCTCTCTCTCTCTCTCTGTCTCTCTCTCTCTCTGTCTCTTAAAGGGCCAACCACATAGCTCAGGCCAGGGGTTCATGGTCCTGTCATGCTGGCCCTGCCCCCCGGGCACGCTGAGACAGCAATTGAGACTGGGCGTGGTAGCGTGCCTGTGATTCCAGCTCTTGGGAAGCAGTAAACAGAAGAATCACTAGGAGCCTGATTTAGTAGTGAGACCCTGAACACTCTGTAGACCCTTCCCTTAAAAAAATACAGAAAAAAATAATTTTTTAAAAAATAATTTATTTACTTGGTAAAAGGTCTCACTATGCAGCTCAGACTCGTAGTGATCCTCCTGTCTCAGCCTCCCCAGTGCTGGGATTTAGATGTGCGCCACCAGGCCCGGATTTGGTGGTTGGCACTGTGTGCTTGGGGTTTTGGGGCTGGCGTGGCATGTGGTACCAGGGATTGAACACAGGTCCTTCACTTGTCAGGCAGGTGCTTAGACCACTGAGCTATCTCCCTGGCCTCTCATCTCACCATCCCACCAGTGCTCCTTGTAGCAGTGTACCTGGTCTTGCTGCTGCCTCCCTTTCTCCTGAGTTTGCTGTCAGCACACCTGCTCGTACTGTGCCCCTGCCAGAAACATGTCAGTTGCATTCTCTGGCTCTTGTATTAAAAGCCAGAGAAGCCTTTGGTACCATAGAACGAAGCCCAGGACTTTGAGCTCACTCTCTTGTGGTATGCCTTCGTGTTCCAAGACAGGGCCTTCAGCCTCAGGCCTGGCACTCACTGACCCTGTCTGGAACTGTCTTTCTCAGGATATCTGCATGGTATCCCAGGCACTCTCCCAGGCCTCTGTGGGGCTTGCGTGCATGGCCTTCTGGCCATTTCTCAGTGAGCCTTTTCTTGACTCTTGCATTTTGGTTTTAGCCTCCCACTACCCATAAACACATATTGCCACCCACCCTATTCCTTTTGCTTTTTGCCAGAGCCCTATCACCTAGCCCGTTTTATATTTTCCTTGAATACTCCTTGTTTATCTGCCAGGTTACTCCTGGCAGAAGAGTGGTTGGGCTTGATCTCAGGCAGTGTATCTCCAGCGCCTACAACCATGCCTGGCTTTTTTTTTTTTTTTTTTTAATTTTTTTGGCAGAACCGGGGATTGAGCTCAGGCCCTTGTGCTTGCCAGGGAAGCGCTTATTCTACTGAGCCATCTCCACAGCCCCTATGCCTGGCTTATTTGAAGTGCACATTGTTTGGTGAACAAATAGATGAAATTGACCCTCTCTCACCTCAAAACTAAGAATAAATTTAGAGCCAGGTACATTGTGGGGCATCCTCCTACCAGTGCTGTTCTCATTCCCATCGTGCAAGAGGACTGACATGGTAGAGGAACATCTTTTAAAAATTAACTACAGCTGTGAGCCATTTAAAACATTGTACACAATGAGTTAGGAAATGCTGATAAACTGCTGATCTGTAAGGCAGATGGGGGAATACAGTTGGCATACCCCAGTCCTGTGTGCCATGGCTGAGGCCCTGGGGGTGGGAGGAGGGGCAGCAGAGAGGCCTACTAGGCCCTTGGTTATGTGGTATCTCGAAGTAAACTCAGTCCTTTCTGGTGCGTGTGCTGAGAACTATTGCCGTGTGTCACACACACGCACGCACACACACACACACACACACACACACACACGGGTATGTCCATTTGCCAGTATTGTCATCAAAGAGTTCCTTTGGCTGAAATGTGTGTTTTCCTTCTTGTTGATGGTGTTTCTTAGTAACCACTGCCAGAGTCCTCTCTGCAGTGTTGCTACTCTGATGTGTCTTGAACTTTATGCTCAACAGTCATTTGACTGTAAAGTATAGGAACAGAAAAGTTTACAGTCATGAGTGTAGACAAGCCCATCTCGTAACTGGTGTTCCTGTGGCAGGACATGCACCGAGGAGGCCAGTGCCCATCGAGCCACATGGCTTGCCTGGCAGGGTTAGCCCTGTTTGGGCAATGGTTGCAACACGTTCTGATAGCCCAAAGCCATCGTTCTTTAAAGAACATGTTTCACTGTGTTGGACTGTACTTCTAAAAGGAGGAAACTGTCCATCTTCATGGAGCTGCTTATAGTGTAGAGCGGAGGGAAACAGTTGCATATATAATTAGGAACCGAGATAGGCACCACAAAGGAAGAGGTGAAGTTGTCCTGGAAGCTTAAAATAGGGCAGTTTGTCCTAATTGTGGAATCGTGCACTTTGAGCTAGGATCTGCAGGTTACCAAGAAGGAAGATTTTATGGGCATTTATTCAGGTTGGATACAGCATGGGAATTAGTTTCCAAGCCGAGGAAGTAGGCTGTGCAACCTCTCTGGGGCAATGGAGGATGGGGACGTTGCTGGGTGTCACTGGAGACCAGTGTGATTGAAGCAAGACTGTGATGAGAGAGATGAGCATGCAGAGAGCTGTAGAGGAGAGCAGGGCCAGAGGGGATCGAGTGTCACCATGCGTGTGTCCATGGGAAGGCCTGTGCGCAGCACAGAAGAGCCCCGGTAGGGCTGACCATGATCCATTTTCTACTTTATAATCTTTTCTCTGGACTCATGGTACATAATAGGTTGGAAAGGTGGAAGTGGGAAACTAGAGAAAACAGCTGGAGGTGTTTTGTTTTTGTTCAGGAGATATTGTATGTTTGCAAGACATTGGTGGCATGGGCTGGGGACAGACTGGTAGACAGGAGAGAGGCTGTGGCACAGAGTGGTGGTGACTGCACAGGCTCACTAAAAATGCACTGCATCTGGGGTATGATTATTGCATCCAACATTGGGGATCAAACTCAAGACCTTGCCCTTGTAGGCGGGTGCTTATACCGCTGAGCCATGTCCCTGACCCTTGGGGTCCAAACTTTAACCTGCCTGTTAGATGACTATATCTGGGATGAACTGGCTCTCAGTAAATAACTGTTGATTGAAGAAAGGGGATGACGTTAGTCAAATCAAATGGTGCGAATGTCCAGACTGGCTGTCTTTTTCACTGTGAATGCATACAGGGGCCTTCTGGTTTTGTCAGTCTCTTGTAAGCTTCATCAGTAAGTGTAAATATTGATAAACTGGATCATTTATGGTACCTTACTAGTGTGATAGACTTTTGGAGCCAGCAGAATTGAAGGACAGACCTGGATGGTCACAGATTCCGAATCTCAGGTACCCAACACATGGCATGTTTTCTAAGCAGTACCTGTTTTTTTTTTTTTTCTGACAAATGTTTTCTATGATAATGCTTTTAAGTTTCAAGTAAATTTTTTTTAAAGACTACATCTACCAACCCTTCCTATCTTTAGAACTGTAGTTATTTCATCTGGGAGGTGGTGTTCACCTAAAAAAATATTTTCTGTGGGAACATAGTTTGAAAAATCCTAGTTAAGTATAGAAGGATTCAAAGTCAAAGAAACTCTTACACTACATTGTTTTCTTGTGCCTGTGTTTCCTATGTCGACCTAATTTCTTTTGAAACTATAAAGTATTTGGTTTTCAAGTCCCTAATTAATAGGACATGTAGAGGTAGTATATTTTAATAGATTCTTTTATGAACCCAGTAAATTTAGGCATTTGAAATAATGGACTAGAGCATAAGGGGAGTGCCTTTTGGTACTCCTTGACTTGTGGAAAATATCAAATGGTGACATAAAACATCTGTGCCTTTATGACTGCTCACTGTCAGTATTCTCTTCATCTCTTGCAGGAAAAGAATGAAAACAGCAGACGTACTTTCAGTGGAACCAAACAAACCACTGAACAGGTAACTGTAATTGGTAAGAGTTGTATATACATTTATTACACAAGCGATAGTATTTGTACATGCTTGGAAGAGTACTTGGCAGTAAGTAGGTAAATAGTATGTAAGTGTTTGCTGTTATTAATAAGTTCTTTTAAGTGTTTTGAAGTGCATAATGAGCCAACTGTTGTCATACAAAAAAGTGCCCACCAAAACCACAGCTTTTGCTTGCAAAGCAAGTGTGAACATTATTGGTAAGTTCTTCTGTGGCCTCTCTGTGGCCTGTTCAGTGGTACCGAGGATCCTGACCACTTCATCTTTGAGTTTGAACACCCCTTGATGATGACCTCATGTCAGATGGGTTTCAGTTTGGAGACTGAACATGTTGGCTACTTTGAAGTCAGCATGGCCTAGCAAAGGATGACGTGAGGAACAGCACTACCGCTATCTGTGGGTGGCAGACGGCAACTTGGAATAAGAAAATGAAGACTGTTGAATCTACCTAAGAGCCACCCTGAAAAGCTGTTGGCATTGCTGAGGCCATGGGTACATTCAGCAAACACTGCTGCAGCACACTGTGCACGTCAGATACTCCATTGGTCAGCAAATTCAGTGTTGAATTGTCGCCTTTCTCCTCACTCCAGCAGTAGCTCTTTGGATTGGTAGCAGCTTCTGTGTCTATTTTGCCTCTGTTCTGAGACAAGTCTTTCCTGATTGATGTCGTAGATCTCATAGTTCCTGGTCTTCAGCCTCAGAAGAGTTCATGCTGTGCTAATGAGTTGTCCTTTGATAAACTCGTAATGTTTTAGTGCCGTGATGGTGTGCACGCTCTTTTGCCCATCCACCCGTGTACCCGTGTTCCGCACTCCTACACGTGAGATTCTTCATCCTGAAGACCTCAGACTTGCTGTGGTCCTTCATGTGTTGCATTATCTGCATTTTGAAACTAACTTCCATTTTCTCAATTACCATTCTCCTTCAACTTTGCATTTTAATTTTAACATTCTCTTCCTGACCGAGAGACAAGAATCATTTTATGTGCTATTTTTGAGTGAAATGGATCCGACTGCTGTTAGCATTTGTATACTAAATGTAACTGTAATATGCATGGTGAAATATGTCTCTAGTTACATGACAACTGGGGAGGCTGAGCTGAGAGGACTGTTCTCAGGAGTTTGAGATTAGCCTGGGCACACAGCAGGACCCTGGCTAAGTAAATGTACATTGTATGATCAAAATATACAGTGAATATTTAATTTTGAAAAAGTGTGGCAGTTAAAGACATATCACTTACCCTCAAGAATACTCCTTCTTACGTCAGACACATTTATCCCTTCTTACAACTTTCAGACCTATAAATTTTTTGTTGTTGTGGAACTGGGGATTGAACTCAGGCCCTTATGTTTGCCAGGCAAGTGCTTATTCTACTGAGCCATCTCCCTGGCCCCTCTTACAACTTTCAGAAGTAGTCGTTACGGTGTGTCTGTCCTGATGGCCTGAGTTGATTCAAAACATTTAATTTTTAGGGTCATTTTAACGTTGGGGAAGAGCCAGATGCTACATGATGCCATGTCTGGTAAATAAAGCAGATGAGGGCACACAGTAATGTCTTACAGTATTTGACAGAAATTGATGTAAACATTTTGAACTGATCAAGGATTGTGATGGCCCAACTAGACATTCATGAAAGAAGACATACAGAACTGCTTCAGAAAGTGGCAAGAATAATGGACCAGCTGTTGATGTGACGAGGAATGTTTTAAGGATAAAGTGTCTTTTACTGTTACAAATTCTATTTATTTATTTATTTATTTATTTATTTATTTATTTGGTACAGGGTCTTGCTATGCAGCTTGGACTCATAGTGATCCTCCTGTCCCAGCCTCCCCAGTGCTGGGATTACCACCATGCCCCCCCATGCCCCATTTTGATGACCAGCATGGCACTTCCGGGGCTCTGGGGCTGGCACATGCAGTGCTGGGGATTGAACCTGGACCCTTGTGCTTGCCAGGCAGGCATTTAGACTGTTGAGCTATCTCCCCAGCACCTGTTATAAATTTTAAAATTGTAAACATTCACTCTTTTGATCACACCTTATAATTTTCATGAATTCCTATGACTAGATCTCTCTATATAGTTTGTCATAAAAATTAAATATTCTGATGGTCTAATCTCATATTCTATGGCTTTGCATGATCCAGGTATCTCATAATTACAGCAGCAGGATGATTTTCTATACCTTGCTGTCTAGGTAGGTGTCATGGAATATAGGGAGACACCTGCTGGCCCAGATGCAGTGTTGCATAGCTTTTTCTTCCCCTGAAGCCTATGGCGTTACAATTCCTAGGACCTTTCACTTAAGTAAGTGTAGATAAGCTTTGCATCAGAACGCATTGAAGTCAGCCCCCTAATCTCCTGAGACACTTTCAGTATTTCCAGTTCACATCTGATGAACTGAAATATATTCATATCTTACACTCCAGCCTAAGAAGCTAAGGTCCAGTGGAGAAAGGCGATTTCATGGTCCTGTCTGGTTCCTGTGCTTCATGTATGTTTAATGGGACTATGATGGTTTAGTAAAGCACTCACTGGTCTGGATGCATTTAAAATGATAATTCATTCTTCTAAGATAATTAAAAAGTTAATGTTTAAGTAGTGTAGTTTTGCAGCTTGGCTTGTTTCATGTGAGGTTTGTGAGGTCCTGGTTTTGAATCTTGTGCTAGAAAAACTAACTGAAAAGCTGTCACTTCTTTATTCCAAGCCCTAGTCACACTGGCATGGTGATTTCTGAGCAGTGCTTCTCAGAAAAATTCTCATTGATATCAGAGATGAGCTTATTTATGAAGGAATTATAATTGCATCCAAGATCACTCTTGCACAACAAATTTCAGAGATAATAACTAAACCAGCAGTCACCTATGTGAGGACCATTTCTAAAGTTTATATGCAACAAAACAAATTGTGATATTCCATTCTAGAGAGATCTTGTTTGAGTAGTCATAAGAGTTTTCAAATATTTTGTCATTGAAAGTTAAGCCAGAGTTGCTTATGTGGTCTTTGTGTATCCTCTGATTTCACTTAGAAATAATTCAGCAGTTCATGGAAATATTAGCCAAATATTAGTGCTACAGATGAAAATAGTCCTCTGGGTTACAGTTATTTTAAATACCATGTAGCACAATTTGGATTACTTTGTTTGGTATGTAGTATTGAGGGCTTGAAAGTATTGTAAGAAGAGAAAAAGCCAACTTGGTTCTGCCGTGGTAATGTATGCTGTAATCCCAGCACTTGAGAGACCAAAGCAGGAGGTTTGCTGTAAGTTTGAGGTAATAAGCCTGAGCTACACATAGTAAGTTCAAGACCAGTCTCAATGACAGGGCAAGACCCTATCTCAAAAAATCAAATCAAGAAAACAAAAGCCAACTTGGTAGCTAGTAGATCTAATTAGATTTACCTTTAGTAGATCTGAAGGTCTACGTATGAAGTCTTTGAAAAACATTCCCTAGGGATTTATTTTGATTATCCTCTAGTTTTCGCTTTTTAAGATAATTCTTAGGGCTGGGGAGATAGCTCGGTGGTGTAACCACGCCTGCCTGGCAGGTGCAAGGACCCAGGTTCAATCCCTGGCACTGCATGCCATGCCATCCCCAGAAAACCCAGGTGTGCTGTGTCAGCTCCACATACCTGTAATCCCAGCTCTGGGGAGGCTAAAATAGGAGGGTTACTATGAGTCTGAGCTGCATAGCAAGACCCTGTACCAAGTAAATAAATGAAAGATTTTTTTTAAAGATAATTCTTAAGGCAGGTGAGATAGTTCAGCAGACTAAACTTTAGCCTACTTTTGTAAGTGCAGGAACAAGGGTTCGATCCCCAATCTGCATGCTGTGCCAGCCTTGCCCCTGAGCTGGTGACCAAGTGATGAGGAAAGCCTGTAATCCCAGCTCTGGGGAGGCTGAGAACAGGAGGATCACTGTGAGTCCAAGCTGCGTAGTGAGACCCTGTGCCAAATACATAAATGGAAAAACAAAACAAAAAACAACAACAAAAAGATAATTCATAAATTTTTTTCCTGTTAATTAGTAAAACACACACAACAATAACAGCGTTTTCTTCTCAGCTTTGAGTTAAAAGATCTGATCTCCTTCTTGGACATCTCTTCCTCAGATACACAGTTCATTCCTTTATTTATGTGCTGGTATGTTGATGATACTAAATCACCTGGTGCTTTTCATCTTGGGTGTCTATTTCTCTTAGCTGGGGGAACAGTCAATACATTGCTGTTCCTGGAAGTGGGTCTGTAAAGGAAAAGGCCAGTGGTGTGAAGTTGGTAGGTGATGCGGAGCCTCTGTAGCTTGAGAAAAAGCCAAAAAGAACTACAGCATTGATGACAGATCCTGTCTCAGACAGAATAACATGTAGTTTTTTAAAAAGTTTCATAATTTTCCAAGTTTTGAACCATTTTTCTTTCTTATTTTTCTGATTGAGAAACTAAAATGAAAATAGATGCTACTATTCTTTTTTTCAAGACTTGTAGATTGATCATGATACATGTGAGAAGTCACCATCAGGGAGCTAAGTATTTTTTAAAAATATGAGTCAAAGAAAAAAACAAGCGATGAAAGCTTTCTCATTGCCAGAACAAATACTTGTCACACAAGCAATAGGAGGAGAGGCTTATTTGGGCTCATGGTTTCCGTGGATTTAGTTCAGGTCGGCAGACCCCGAGGCAGAGCAGCCATAGCATGCCAGAGGAAACCTGTGACTTCACAGCATCCTGGAAGCGCAGAAGGGGACCTGCACGTGCATATACTGTTCCAAGTTGTCGTCCCAGCTATTGGCTCCTTCTGGCTGGTCAGGCCCCACCTGCCCACGTGAAATGTGTAGGAGACATTTTATTTTATTTTTCTTTTACTTACTATTATTATTTTTTTGTATTTGGTACAGGGTATACAGGGTGTTCAGGGTCTCACTATGTAGATCGGACTCATAATGATTGTCCTGCTTTCAGCCTCCCAAGAGCTGAGATTACAGGTGCCC